AACTCATTGTTCAATTGGTTCTTGCGCATTTCCTTGAAATTGTTTTTTGACTTGCTACTCTGAGCCATTAGTGTTTGTAACTAAGAAATCCTGGCTTAGTCACTGATGTAGAAAAACAAGGCTTTGTTTCAGGTATGGCTCCTGGGAACTGCCGTATTTAGTACCTTGTGAAAGGTGAGATCTTGGTTTGGGAGTTAGACAAACTGGTTTGTGAAGGTGCTTGGACTTAGCAATATATGATGCAAAGTGTTCAGGCAGTTCATTAGACAGTCATCTGTCCTTACCTCTGGGCATAAGAGGGGAGGATCTTTTCTACAAAAGCTGAAAGCTGTACATGTTTGGGCACTGGCAATAGACAAATTACTTACAAGGGCATCTTTGCTGCTTTCTCATGTTAAACTTCATTTGTTCCTGTCCCACCTCTAAAGAGACAGTTGTAATTTTTATTCCACACAGAAGAATGAGGGTATTGGTTTGCAGATGGTTGATTTCTCATGTGTAAATAGACAATTTCTTTTCTTAAAATGTAAATAATTGTTCATTTTTTGACAGTTCTAATGAGCTTATTAGTGGCAGAATCACGCAGAGCTGCTACCTTAAAGTCTTGTGACTCGTGGTTTGCCCATCACCAGCTTGGGCATCATTTGAGAGCGTGCTAGAAGTGCGACTGACCTTGCCCAATTCACTGACAATTGGCACCTACAGTGTATTTAGTTCCCATCAAGGTGACTCTCAACATAGTCTTAAGAATCTTTTTTTTTTTAAAAAAAGATGCTTTGGTCTCATCGAAAAGAGCCTTTCTGTAAACTCAGTAAAAGAAGAACTGGCAAATACCACGTTTATGTACTAGAATGGAAGATTTTTGCCTTTTAATTTACTTAAGCAATTTGTACATAAGAAGGAGCCCTTGTCTGATTTCATTATAGGACAGTGAATCTTTGCCTGGAGTCCCATCAAATTACAGTCAATCTTTGCTTGGAGTCCCATCAACCAACTTCATTGTACTCTGGGGCTTGGCCCAGGCAACTGTAATGATTAACTATCAGGTGCTATTACTAGCTTGGTCAAGTGGAGAGTGGATGCTAACTAAATTTCTCCTGTGTGTAGCTCCTGTTGGTTTCTGGGCTTATTGAACAGTTTTCCAAATGAATCAGGGTTTCTGTGTAGTTTGCCTTCAGAGAGAATATAGTGGTCTCCAAAAATACACCTTCTAGCTATCACTGTTTATTTCATTAGGGTGAATTATATAACATCTGTCTTTTTAAAAGCAATTTCTGAGGACAGGGTTTACGTGACAAGAAGTGGAGCCACTTTGAGTGGTTGACAATACCAGCCTTCCAGGGACACTGTATGGACTGTTGGGCAGATTACTTTGAATACCCCTGTCTTCATGTGGGACCATTCCTATATAGATTAGCTCAATATCCTGTTTGGATAGCCAGCTGGCCTTCTGCATGACTTTTATTTATTTATTTAGCAGTTATCTTTGCGTTCAGATTTTTTCCTTAAAAAATATTTATTACGGGACATTTCAGCATAAACAGAAGTAGCAATAGTAGTTAAATAAATCCTAAGTGTATTTCACTTGGCCTTAACTTCAACACTGGACAACATATGTTTTATTTATATCTTTTCTACCTTACTGCCTTGATTAGTATAAAGCAAATCTCTTTTTTTTTCTCTCAGTATTTTAATACACAGCTACCATTTTACAGCCTAGTAATGATGGCATGATTATTTCCCTCAAAACATTTCTTGGCATTAAAATGGGTTTTAAAGTTTATTTACTCCATATATATTTGTTGAGAGTTTGCCTTGTATTAGATCTTGTTCTTTACATTAGAAATATACTTGGGAAACAAAACAGATATAATTCTGTGCTTTCATGAAATTTACATTCAACTCTAGAATAAATAATAAGTCAGATAAATAAGTAACATAGGTAATATGTTAGCTGATGAGAAAGAGCAAGAGCAAGAATAAGCCATGTTATAGGGAGTTAAAAGTTAGATAAGATGGCACTAAGATTATACTATTTCAGTAGGGATTGGGAGGTGAGGAAGTAGGTTGTGGAAAGAGAGAGTGCTGAGGTGGCTGGGTGCCTACCTGGAATAGGCAAGGGGGTGGGGGGGGGCAGGTAATAGGCGATGAATCCAGAGGCCTAAAAGGGAGCCAGATCATGTAGAGACTTGTCAACCACAGTAAGGAATTTGGTTTTTGCCTTGCATGACACGTAAGCATTGAATGGAGTTGAAGATGAGCATAGGAGTTTCGTATGCATCTCAAGTAGGTGCATTTCTTGGGTAGTTTCAGTTGTGCTCCAGTGCAAAATTTAGGGCCCAGTTTTCCTTCTATCTTATGCTATTTGGACCTTGAAAATTGAATAGTTAGGAGGAAAAATGAAAATCTATAAACATTAGTTTAAGATTAAATGATTCATATCCTGATTTTTCAGTTTACTAATTTGGTAGCTACAGGGAAAATGTTACCCTCAGGCACCAACCTGGATTTGTTTGGATTGCTAATGAAGGATGCAAATGTGAATGTTTTCAAGGACCAGGCAAAGGGCCTGGTATCTGGAAAAGTGGTGAGCTACCCAGCTGGCTGGATTATTCAGACAGCAGACTGGGCTAAATCTAAACCTTCTGATAGCTGGTTGATGTAGTCACAATCTCTGTTATACTCTGAATATGTTGATAACACCTGCCTTGGGTCTAGGTGTTAAAATATTAATTTTATTAGTTCAGAAGTCTCTAATTTAGTGCTTACATTAATTTTACTTAATCCCAGCAAAAACTCTGTGGGCTGGGGGCCAAAGACAAGATGAAGAAACAGGCATAGTGAATTCCTAGAGGAGTCAATTTGGATCATTCAACCATGGATTTTAATCTCTAGATTAGAAAAAGAATGCATACTGTGCGTTACCCACATATTTTTATTTTACTCCATCCATCCATCCGTCCATCCGTCCATCTATGAATGAAGACCCCTTTCCTCCTATGTGCCTAACTTTGTTCTCAATGCTGAAAATAGCAGTTTCTTACATGGGCAAAGTCCTCCCTGTGTGGACCTCACTGGTTTTGTGTAGAAGACAGGAAATAAACAAAAAACAATAGGTAAAGAGGTAAAGGAAATTAAGAAAGAGCAAGAAGATTAGGGACTATCCTGGGATAAAAAGAGATAGGTAAGAAATAGTAGTAACAATTTGAAAAGGGTGGGTAGAGAATTCACAATCAAGTTGAGAGTGAGTTGAGAAATGAAGAAATGAAACCTGGAAGGGAGAGAGGTCTTCACAGATTTGTATGTTTATTCTACAGCCAAGAAAGAGTGGTTGCTCTGTTTCTGTCTTGGGAGTATATTCAGAGGTTAAGCCATGAGTCTGATAACTGAACAGTAAAGCCAGGTTCCACTTCTGTTTTTATGAGTTGGAGTTTCTAGGTAACTAAGTACTGATTTATACATTTTAAAATATGTTCCAAAATTATTATTCCAGGTTCCTAAGCACACTCAGTTCAGATGGTGAATCAAGAGGCAGGGGCAGGAATAGTTTGAGTGCTAACCCCATTAGGGGACCAGAGCCCTCACTTCAAGGTCTTAGCACTCAAGAAAAGAGCATATAAATTCTGTGATAACTTATTTAAAATAAATGCAAGAGACTTGAGGTTTCAAGTATTGACCGCCACTATTTAATTTTCAGGAGGAAGAAAGTCCAAACATATTGCTAAAACAACTTTATATACTGTAACAAATACATTTCCTGTGATTATTCTGAATCATGGGTGAGTTCTCAAGTAAAAATAAAATTGTTCATCCTGTTGCTAACAGAACAGTACATTTAAATCTCCATAGCAGTGATGATTTGATAGTCAAACCCTTAGTTGTTAAAGCAAAAATAAAAACTTTTTACCTTGCACCTGCAGATATACCCTTGTAGACTCGGTATACTTATAAACTGAACAATGAAACTATTTCCCACAAATAGTGGGAAATCTGACTGTAGCTTCATCCTATTGATGGTCAACACTCACCACCCTCTTTTGAGGTAAATTTGTTCATGATGTGTTCATAATCATAACTTTGATAAGTGAATGACATTCATGAAGCACATTTGGAAAAAATAACACGCTGAATGTGATACATGTACCTACTCACGGAGTCTGAGCTGTATCTGAATTTTGGCATAAAACTGAGACTGATATCACATCTCTGCTGAACCCTTGAAGTTGGTTGAGGTTGCATTCAAATGCAAGGAGCTCTCATTGTGGTTGAAGGCTAGACCTCCTCCCAACCCCCAAGATGCACAAGGTTTTCCCCTGATGCACCTTTTGCGTGTGGCTTACTTGGAAGCCAAGGCTCAAGAGAAACTTTTCCCACTCTTTTAAAAACCAAGGAGAATGAAAACTAGGGATATTACCCAGCTTTAGGGTTAATGTCCAGAAGTAATCTTCATTAGAGAAGCTTGTTTATATGGCAGGACAAACATGTTGTTACAGAGAACCTAGCTTTTTGTTGGGAGAGCCACACCCTCTCCTCAACGTGTGGATCCCCATTCTCTTTGCTTGGAGGCCCAGTTCCCTATCTCATTCCTTAACTCAAGATGAACCCCTCTTTTACTGTCCCTTTTACTTTAATATTTACTCTATGTACATTCTCCATTTGCATGTAATTCAGTTTGTAATTAATTTTGTTCTCTTCTCCCACTAATCTGTTAGGTGTTCATTTAATTGCTCTAGCAACTCTTAATGGATCCAGGAAATTTCTCCCACAGAAAATTTCCTCTCCGACTCTATCAGTTACTTTCACTTTTTTTGGTAAATGGTATTTAACAACAGATTAGTGTTCTTCAGGGTTCAGATGGTTAGCTTTCTATGTCACTTTTGGGATTCAACAATGATTCTCAGTTATTTCTATTTCCTCCCCAAAGTTTTCTTATTGAGAATCCAAGAGGCAATATGTGGACTCAAACTCCCCTGTCCTAATTACATGCGGCCTTGAAAGATCGCTGAGCTGAGGACAGAAGGTCTGTTGCTGACAATAGCAAACTTAGCCTCTCCTCCTCTGATGGCTCTTACAGAATGAGTCAATCACCTTTTGCTTCGTTTCTCTGTGACATGCACAATTTTAACTTTATATAGAGTGTGTATACAGACTTGAAGATAAATTCAGTAACAAATTACTGCTTTTCCTTTTAGAAATTAGAAATCTGGACCATGCCTTGGTGGAAGTGATATTAAGTTAATTACTCAAACCTTGGTTGCATAATAGAAGTTTAAGCTCTGCTACTATGAGATTCAAAAAGAATTTCAAGTTCTATCTGACTTCATTCAATGAAAATATAGACTGTGATCATAGAGGCCTCCTTCCATTTGTCTAAGTGATTTTTTACTGATTTTTCTCTCCAAGAATGCTTGGATCTCCCAGCTTTCTTCCAAGACTCAGCTATCATTTTATCTTTGTGTTTAAAATCTGTCAGTGGAAAATGGACAAGATTTGTTATTGCAACAACATTCCTGCCTACATTTCAGTGAGATCTTGTTTTTTTTTATGAAGCATTGCACTAAGCCTTCTATAAGACCTTTGTGAACCAATGATGGAGCATTCCTAAGGGAGTGTATATATGTAGCCCCTTTGTTAACTGTAGTCCATGAGTATGAACAAACTGTTTTTCCTTTGCCATCTCTTATCTTCCTTCTGTTACAGGACGGGGAGAGGGGCACCCCAGAATCCCAGACTTACCTGGTTCTAAATAGGTTCCGCCAACTGCATAAAACACTTAATAGGAAAGAACTGCAATATAATTAGTGTGCAATACAGAAAAGACAAAGAATAGTTTCCAAATCAAGAACTTGGAAGTTACCTCTCCCCTTGTGGGTAAATGCCCAGCCAAACGGGGTTGGCCCAAAGCACAGCCACTGAGGCCTAAAAGTCAGTGACCAGTCTAAAGCACTTCTTGGGGATCCAAAAACAGAGTCAGAGGGTCCAGAGCAAAATCAAAATCAAGATAAAAGCTGCTATTGTTAACCTCCTCTTCTCTCACCCACGTATGTTTCAACCAGTCCAGGACCCAAGAAAAGAGGCCCACTTTGTCTTCATATGTTTCTGTTCCATGTGCCTCCTCCAGGTTTCCTTCTGGCTCCGTACCCTGCTTCTTTCTTTCCCAGTCTCCTCCCTGCTCATCTCTACCCTCAGTTGGATGAGACAGGGAGCCTGGAAACGCCTCTTTCCCTGGGGACCACCTTATTATAATTCCAGAATTCTCTCCAGAGAAATTGAAAATTCCAGACCAGTGTCCACTCAGTTTGGCCAATACTAAACTGATTTTCAGAATGATGCTTCCCCCTTCTGGTAGTTTTTGAGAACTAGGACTTCAGGATTTCATTTATTGCTCAAATACTAGTTTCAGGCTACAAGGGCTGTTTCTATACTACTCTCCTCCTAGTACTTTTTAACTTTCTGAGGCTTGCTAAAGAACCTCTTCCTAGTATTTTTAATATTGAGGCTTGCTAAAGACATCAGCCCCAAAGACTTTGTATTTGGATTGCACCTTTTTTTGCTACTTTCTCAAAAACCCGATTTAACGTTTCTTAGACCTAAAATGCCTCCATTCTTGTACTAAGGGTTATCCCTTGCCACTTATTTTCCTAACTCTTCCAAGTGACCAGATAAAAACCCACCCGACCTACAAAGATACACAACAGTAAATGTTCAGTTTGTCTTAATGCTTACTTAAAACCCATGGTAAGTTACTGCCTTTATGCATCTCCTGAATTGCTAATAGACTACTCTCCTTCTGAAATAAAGCATTTCCTCGTCTGTTCTTATTGAACTTATCTTAGTAGACCAATTACCATAAAGCAAAATAAAGAAGCTGAAGGAACTAATCTAAATAAATTTAGGCTAGTGCCTCTCCATGTTACACAATCAGTGCTACAGCTTTTTACAGAAAGAATTAAGTGGCTCTGAAAAGAGCCTTTGGGTTGTCAAGATTAAAACAGAAGCGGGCTCACTTGGAGCTGGTGTACTTGGTGACGGCCTTGGTGCCCTCGGACACGGCGTGCTTGGCCAGCTCGCCGGGCAGCAGCAGGCGCACGGCCGTCTG